CCCAAGACGCAGCCCGAGCCGAGGCCGGAGCCGGAGCCGGAGCAGGGGCAGGGGCGCTCGCCGCACCCGGGCCACTGCGGCCCTGCCTTGCGGAGGGGCAGGCACGGTCGCCGCTGCCGCCCAGACACCAGCCCACGGCGCCTGGGCTGCGCGCCTGCTGAGGAGTTGAGGCAGCGCTGCCCGCCGGACCCACATGGCTTGTTACCTGGTCATCAGCTCGAGACACCTCAGCAATGGGCACTACCGGGGCATTAAAGGAGTCTTCCGAGGACCCCTCTGCAAGAACGGATCTCCCTCTCCGGTAATGTACGCGCTCACTCACGCTCAGTATCCCACATAAACAGAGATAGATACGGAGATGCAGCGAATGGGTGGTGGGCTTCCAAGGAGCAAGTTTTACCCTTTGGTATATTGTCCGTTTGTCCTGTTTATTGGCAGTTACACAGCGAGGGGTATGTTTCCCTGCGTATTTCAGGACCGTCCCCAGGACCTGTACTTCTCTGGATGCAGCTGTCTACCCAGTGCAGTTAACTAGAGCTGAGAAGACAGCTTCTCTCAGCTGTGGGCAACTTAAGGAACCCTGTGATGTGGGCAGTGTGGAAAGTTTGAGTGGCACTTTCTAATGTGCTTTTTTGAAGTTATCTCTTGCGATTAGTTTAATAATACTGCCTTTACTTTCAGTAAATGAACTCCAAGGACTTTCCTTCAGATCCTTGCTAAAAGTAAAGGCACGGGTTGTCAAAACTTGATAGAATCAAGGGCTTAACCTTATAGGTTCTTCAAGGGGAAAGAAAAGGGTTCCTTTGTGGAAGTCTGAATTGGATTGTTTTTGTATTACACGCAAATGTATCAACATACAATGTGAGTGCCTTCTGTTTAACTTTGTAAGCTATTCCATCCGATTACCGACTGACATACAATTTTTTTATGAAATACTTTTATTTGAGCGTCTAAGTCAAGTACATTATGGATCTGTTCCTTGGTACTATAAACCGAGGTTTTCAGGGCACGAATATGTCTCAAGAAAATGTGTGTGTGTGTGTGTGTGTGTGTGTGTGTGTGTGTGTGTGCAACCACGGATCGATGCATGTTTTAGATTACTAGTGACTAAGTATCCAAACTTAATGAACAACTTTGCTCATCTGAGGTAGAAGATAGCATTTTCAGTCTGTTTGATAGAAAAGGAAAAGCTTAATTTTCCTGTTTGTATTGTTTGGTTCTTTCACTGTAGTTTAATATTTCATTAGCATGAAATACTCAAAACTATGACATGTTATAACTTTGATTAATCAGTATATATGACTTGCATGAGAAATCTAAAATCAGAAAGAAAATAAAATCAGAAAATACAAGTTCTGTGAGATATCACTTGGATTCTTTATGACAAAATATTCCTCATGCTTTCATGCACCTGCCACTGCCCGCAACGAAATGGTATTGATCAGAAGTGCTACATGGGGACAAACGCTGTTCACATTAGCCTTACAATAAAGCTTACAGTGTCATCAGGGACATGTGAAGTTGCAGTTGAATGAAGCCCACATTCTGACCTTCTGAGCAGCAGGGCTGCATCTTGCCTATTTCTCCAGATTCTCAGGGTTTTTGCAGTCTCAGCAAACCACTTTTAATGTTTAACAATCCACAGTGTCAGGAGAATCTTCCTTATGGCAAATTGAAATCCTTCAAATACCTGCTTAAGCTCATTTCCTCTTGCAAACCCAGAATGTTCCCGTTTTCTAACAGGTATTGTTTTCCAGGACTTTGATAATCTGGGGCTATCTCCACAGCCCTCCCAGAGGATGTGGAAATCTCAGTTGGATAATGTGTTGTAATGTATGTGTCTTAATAATTCTTAAGGTAAAAGGTGAAATCCTTCACAATTCCCACACTGTATTCAAGTTCATTAGAATACAGTGCTAATCTCTCAAGATCTCTAGAGTTTAGACAGGACATTTTTGCTCCTCGGACGTTCCTTGGCCCCTCCTGTCCCTCATCTACCTCATACCCGACTGGCTCCATTGCGGGGATATGGTTGTGTGGGTGTGAATGTGGGAAGGCAGCCCATCATCCACATGGCTGTGCTGGCTGACCAGACATATAGGTGCCCTACGCCTGTAGGACATGGTGTTTATTTACTACTGGGCTGATTGTTCTGAAGGTACTAATCCATTTACTTTG